CGAAAGAATATGCAACGTATTATATAAAGCCGATACTGTTCGATATAGTTATCAAAAGTAGATTATAGCACAGCTGTTCCACATGTTAGCTTTCTGACTTTCATCTGATTTGACGGAGCAGAAAATACAAATTTCAGATCACTGCTGATATGTCATTTAGCTTCATTACGTCATTGTCGCTACGTCATTCGCCCGTGAAAAAGTAAACGTACTTTTGGGAACTTATGAGCTCGTATTTCATAAAGTTTCTGGAATGTTCCACCATGAGCTTAATTCAAGTTGACTGATTTTTTCGGATAGATGTCAGAACCTGCCTTATAGACAAACGAGCTGCCAAACCGCCCGGTCCTGTCAATAATGTATTCGAATCAGCATGTGCAGGTGTGCAGGATGTGCAGGGTGTGCAGGGTGTGCAGGGTGTGCAGGTCGTGCAGGTTGTGCAGGGTGTGCAGAGTGTGCAGGTTGTGCAGGTTGTGCAGGGTGTGCAGGGTGTGCAGGGTGGGAAGGGGGTGAATGGACATTCATTCATTCATTCATCCATTCACCCCCTTCCCACCCTGCACACCCTGCACACCCTGCACAACCTGCACAACCTGCACACTCTGCACACCCTGCACAACCTGCACGACCTGCACACCCTGCACACCCTGCACAACCTGCACCCGAATGTGCACAAACAAACTCACACATTTTCTGCTTTATATATAGAGATTAACATGTAGCTTGCATGCAGAAAGAAATATGGATCCTGCGTAATGCACAGAAAGACTACTGAGTATAGGGCATTCGAAATCGTGACGATGGCGCGACCGCGCTGACACGCACGCACCTTCTTGCAGCCGCGTTATTTTTACTCTACACTCGACTGGTTTTTCCGCTTAGGTATGATAATACTTGGACATTGGAGGTAACTGAGTTGAGCGCTAAAGTGATGCCTTTTTGCACGAGGGTGTTATGCTCCTGTGGGCGCAAAGATCGCAGTCAAATCCGTCGTCACGATTTTACAAATGAACCTTACAGTCTGTCCCAATGGGTATCAGGCCGAAGCGTTGGCGTGAATTTGCGCGGTTGCAGGCTATGGGTTTGCGCTACATATGCGCACTGTCGGAGAGAGTGAAGAGCTTGGAGAGAGAGCAGACGACCAGGCCATAGGCGTGACGCAGCTAGCGACGCGGTCTCCCGCCATGTCAATTTTGGCCTGATCGGGATTGGGGCAAACTGTAGATGTTTCGCTAGGTATTTACTGGTGAGCGGGGCCTTCCAAAAGAAATTTCATTTTTTTCATTTTCCCAATTTCCGGATTACATTTGGAGATTGGATTAGATACTAATCATTTTATTACTGCAAAATTACAATAGGAACTAGCAAGGCATTATAGCCATACAGAGCCGAAGTTGGAAACCGAAATAAAGATGGAAACCCTTATGTAGTCGTCCGGAATAGCCTATTATCAGATCTAAACTTCTCTTCGTAGTAATCCTTACTAATTATGAGGTTGGTGCAAAAGTTTTGTCAGTTTTTTCAATCTATCGGCAAACACGCTAGAATGAACGTAAACAAACACTTCGGAATGTATCCGATGCGGAATTTCTTCTTCTTTTCAGCTGCTAAACTCCCATTGTGTTTAGTTGCGAGAGTGATGAGATAATTGCTGGGAATTCCAACCACTCGTCGCTAATTTTCAAAATTTTTGTATGAGACTTTCGGAGGAGCCCTAGTAACCAGCAGATAGGGCACCGTTTGCCAACAGAAGCAATTTTTGTAGCCCTACGGCTTGTTTTCAAAATTTTTACGATTTATTTTTGGATGTGACCAAATTTTACATTCAGCCTAGTTTAACCTCGTAGAACATAAGACGTTAAACACTTCAGTCACCAATCGATGCAACTTTTTCTCCTCGTAACACTTGTCTTTTTTGCCGAGATAGGCGAAATATGTCGGGAAAATCGCAGTATTTCTCAATTTCAGGAGTGCACATTGACGTAACCTATGCTTCATAATCTGGAGCGAAAATCGCTCATTCACTTTGTAATGGTAGCGGTGGTAATAATTGAGTGTTGAAGCCTCAGTATTCTGCAATTTTGCAGTGTTTGATACGATGGCAGTTTATGCAATTTTTCCAAATTACAAGATTTTTAGAAAACTATTTAGCAAAAATCTGAAAAAGCAGCTGAAAAAAAGAAAAAAATTGCATAAGTTGGCAAAAAGTTCGCCCTATCTGCTGGTTACTACGGCTCCTCCGAAAGTCTCATACAAAAATTTCGAAAATTAGTGAAATTTAGACATGGTAGAAACTAATGGTTGCAATTTTCAGCGAATATCTCATCATTCTTTCAACGAAACACAATGCGAGTCTAGCAGTTGGAGAGAGGAAGAAATTCTGCACCGGATTTATTTTAAAGTGTTAATTTATCTTCATTCTAACGTGTTTGCCGATGGATTGAAAAAACTGACAAAACTTTTGCACCGACCTAATATTTATTTATACATAAATAAAGCTGCAACCTCGGGATACTCAAAACGTTCAAACAACTCTTCAAAGCCATGATAAGTATTCAAAGTAACCCTTTAAAATTCCCAAAATGGCCGTAGATCCTATAAGTTCTATAGTCGAGCTCTGGTTAGGAAAAAAGGTAGTAGTTTGTTTTATACTGCAGATTTGAGCCGAGGTTTTAGATTCTCTTCGTATTCTACGGTGCGAGAAACAAGCCTCCTGAAGACGGTGGTTTGGCAAAACTGAACATCTTGAGACTTTGATGTATGGGTTGTTTAATCCCCCCCCCTCAAATTTATACACATATGAAGCTGAGCGTTGGTAAATTGTTAGTTAATGTGTTCATTATAGAGATCTTTGTGTGTGGACCAATCCCCTCCAAACTTCACACATACGTTTTTGACCCCGGTCTACCCCACAGGCTACTTTTGCGGTGAAATTGCCACTCCTTCCGTGTTCTGTCAATTTCAAAGAGAAATGAATTCTCATCATACTGTCAAACCAATTTCAACTTTCGCGTAAGCAATAGCGGGAGGCCTCATTCTCATTTCACGATGAGGGAGGTACGGTTATTGAAGGCGATGTGGTCAAGAGGTATCGTCCATTCCCCACGGTATAGCGGGCGGAGCTTTGCCGACGTTTGCCAACGTATGCGCGTGGCAGTTTTTGATAGCGAGAGTACGAAAATTGACCCTTTAGAATGGAGGTTTAACAAGTTTTTTTTTCAACGAATGTCTGCAGGGCCGCGCCCGCTATACGCATGAGAATTGCCTATATCTATCCTGTGTTACATGAGAAACGAATGAAGTTGAAGCGCCCATAGGTGGAGCCTCTGAAGTTGCACACCAGTTTTGGTCTCTGTTGAGCTAGGCATACCAAAGGTGCAAGCGAAGCCGGGAATGCCAGCTAGTATGAAAGAAGAGAAAGCCCAGTCGCAAGTTTGCCCTCCTTACTAGAAGATTTCGCTCAAACCTGAGCGCACAACAGCCTTCGCGTCTGGAAAGCTGGAAGGCGAGCTCGCGACTCCCCCCCCCCCCCCCCCCCCGTTGGTGCGCATGCCGAGATGTTATAAGTAAGGGACCAGCAAGGACTCTACGTTCCCACCTTCTACCTTGAGAGGAAATGTTTTATCGACCGAATTCAGTACAAAGGGCCTTTTCGCCATTTTTGCGCCCTCTAAGGCGATTTTCGGGATCAGCGCATTGGATAAACGCAAATAGGCGAGAATTTTTAGGCTGAGGAATTGCAGAGCCAGTGCCTTCGACGATAAAACAGTAGGCATTTTCGGCAATACACTTTAAAACATGATATACACTCTTCTTTGATCCGGTATAAGCGGAAGCATTCTATGGAAAGAGTAGAGGACTATATGTCGCCGAAATGGGCGTTCCCTGCGGTCATCTGCAACAGATACGCGCATTTCACATGCCTGGGTGCGTTTTTGCAATAATTTCGTGCACCCTATAGAGTGAAGGACTATGTGGAAAGCGGTTCATCTGCTTCGCTGGAGGCTTCGCCAGCGCGCCGGTCCTATGGCGATATGAAACAGCGTCGCAAATTGGGCGGCGCGGCAAAGCGAAGGCGTGTCAACTCAATATCAGCTTCTAGATTGATACAGACTTAACATTAAAAAATTCGGCGCTATTCCAGTATCCGGGCCCCAAAATTTTTTTGTAGTGGATTCTGTCGAAACTTGGCCCAGGGGGGTTATTCGACCCGCTGATGCCGAATATCATATTGGTTTTGTACGGTAGCGTCATTTTCTCGGGTTACGGTGGGTATACGGTAGGGGGTCAAAATCACGGAATTCGCTGAAACTTGGCCAAGGGGGGTTATTCGGCCAACTGATGCCAAATATCACATTGGTTTTGAACCATAGCGTCACTTTCTCGAGTTACGGTAGCTACACTGTAATGGGTGTAAGAAATAGTTTTGCCTGAAGCGGGTGTATGGCTATTCGGACAATCGTGAAGCTTTGCACACACGACCACCGCCGCGCGCTACACACCCTGCTGCGGCTTTTGCCTAAGCAAAGCACAGGGGAAAGATACATTTGCCGATTTGTGATTTTGACCCCTACCGTAAACCTACCGTAACCATACAGGGAGACGTTTTCGTGCAGAGAAAGTGTGACATCAACATGTCGAATAACCCCTCTGTGCGAAGTTACAGCGGATTTTGAGATTTTGACCCCCTACCGTATGCCCACCGTAACCCGAGAAAATGACGCTACCGTACAAAACCAATATGATATTCGGCATCAGCGGGTCGAATAACCCCCCTGGGCCAAATTTCGACGGAATCCACGACAAAAAAATTTTGGGGCCCGGATACTGGAATAGCGCCAAATTTTGGTATATTGATTACATTCATCACGTATTCTTGAGACTACAATGTAATGTGTAGCAGCAGATTCTGTCTAGATATCGAATATTTATTCAAAAATGAGCTTTTCATGGTACGATTTTAAAGATGGGCGAGTATTTTTCGAGTTTATTGGTGGCGATCAATGAAACAGAAGCTTTCTCATTTTCTCAACAGATCGATTACCCTAAAATACCATATCAGTACAATTTGAATCATTTCCCAGAGAAAAGACTTACGGATTGAAATAGCTGATCGTCCCATTTCGGAAAGAACTTCTTGAATGTTGGCGTTTCCTTGCCCTGGTAAATTGTTTCAATCGTTGTATCCTTGTGGCGTGGATGCGTGTCTTGTTTTAGATATTTCTAAATCAGCGTACTATAAGATGCCAACTTAAATTTTTGTGAAAAATTTTGCTTGCCTTTGCCGTTTCTTGAGCTCCTTCTTTCTCCTTGGGATCAGCACCCGCACCAACCCAGACGTAGATTGAATGAAGGGCATCAAGAATCATAACATCGTCTCCGTCAAGATTCTGTAAATTCACAATTAGATTTGAGGTCCAAATTTTGCTTGAAATGTGAATCACATGATACTACTCACCTCCTGAGTAAAATTTGCGATTTCTTCTATGACTAATTTGCCGCTGGCATTCGACACTTGGAACAGCTGAGGTACAAAGCACTTCCTTTGTTTCTCTTCGTCCCATTCTTCGAACCTCAAAAGGCAATGCATAGATTTTTTGTAAACGGCTGATGTTGGAAGCAGAGATAACATGAAACTTGTTTTTAATGCAGCTTTGGACTTTAGTGAGTGAAAATAAAAATGCGTAAAAAACTCACCACTGCATAAATGACATTGTCTCAGCACCTTCCATCACTCGTGTCACTTGCGTCCATGGTGGCAGCATCTATAGACCTCTTTTCCCTTCATGGATCAGAGTGCAGCAGTCACTCACCTGTAATTTGAGAAACTTCTCTCCCATTTGTAGAGCAGAGATGCGTTCGATTGCACTACATTCTTTTCCTATCCAAACGAATATCCCGCCAGTAGCCGCATCAAGAATGAAGGCGTCCTGAAACCTTTCTTACGGTAACGGCTACACACAGCTCCAGGTACATTCCAAGTAGTTGAAGTGAGATAAAATGAGAATCCCACTGATTAAATGAAACCTTCTTCTATTAGGGTTTGGCTTTCATTGTGCTTTTTATTCTATCTTCCATAAAATTCAGCTATCAGCCTTTGCTGCATTAAACGAACACAACAGAATTCAGTTCTGGAGCATGCTCGGCACAATCACCAATTTTCTAGAATTTACCTGTCTACCTGAATGTTACGACTTTGTTACTCCATCATTTTCTGGATTCAAGTTTTGCGCTTGTCAACTTCCATGTTTATAATGCTCCTTACTATTAGGTTGTCCCAAAAGTAAACCATATTTCCGAATAAATCAAACTGCTTTTTTTCCTAGCAGATATAGGGCACCATTTGATAGAGCGAAGCAAGCTCTACAATATGACCGCCAAAGGTCCCTCTAAGCCGTGATCCATGTGAGACTTGGATTCAAAAATCAAAAATTTTCAACTAACCAGAAAATCGGATCTACTTATAGAGAATCCCTACGGACCTCCTTCTTGGTCATTGTACAGTAGACACATAGTAGTACCCAAAAATGTATTTGATGGATTTTTTCGGGTCTTAGAATTGAAAGACAAGGATGGTCCAAAAATGTCAAATTGCCGCTTTTTTCGGGTTTTTCATGTAAAACTTGGCATTCCTCGACTACCAAAGCACAAACAAAGGTAAATTTTTCAAGATTATATTTATTAAGGCTTGTAGTATAAAATGACGTATGTGGGAGGCGCTGAGGGCGGAGATTGCCATTTTTGGACTATCTTTTCTCTCGCTTTCTAAAAGCAAAAAAATACAGTATAATCAAATTTGAGTACTACTATGGGTCTGCTGTATAATGACCAAGTTAGAGGACCGTACGACTTTTCTTCGCAAAAATCCAATTTTCAGATGCTTAATTTTTTTTCGATTTTTGCCATACTACCTGAAATACGACTTAGGCGGATCTTTGGTGTTCATTTTGTAGAGCTTGCTTCGCTCTATCGAACTGTACCCTAAGTCGTCTAAAAGAACAAACAGCTTGATTTATTCAGAAATACAGTATACTTTTGGAACAACCTAAGAGAACATTAAAGACGCGTCTGAAAAACATGATAGAGTGCGAGGACTCATTCCTTGACCTTTTTCTGAATGAGCTAAAAATTTATAACATCATCGAAGAGAGGCTTTGTCAAAGGAACCGCTTCTCATTTACTCAGGAATCTTATGCGTGGAATCCGGGATTCAAAAGTGGAAATGTAGTTTTAAACTGGTCTGATATCTTCGCACACACAACTTAAGTTTTTTGATATCCCCTCCCGCCCCCCCCCCCCTTCCCTATATTCCCGAGGCCGGAAACATTATTTGCTGCATTTAACGATTCCAACGATAACTGAAAACGCTTTGAGTATACAGCAGCTATACTTGGAGGCTCTTCCCAAATCTAAGTACATGTAATATATAGTTTACATCTTTAATCACCTTAGTGTTCAACTCGGTCTGCTTCGCCGGGCCTTGTATCTTCATGACTTTCATATCTCCAGATTCATCGGATACCCTGAGCAGTGAAATTTTTGTCCAAATCAAACAGAAAAACTACAGCCCACTTGTAAAGCGTGACTTTATCGGATATTTTCCTCCAGTAATCCTGGTCGTCATTCATGGCTCTTTTTACATTTTTTGCAGAGCTTAGTCCACCAAAATGTGACCAGAATTCTTCATCTTTGTCCCAGTCAGAATCTCAAAAAACTTTATGAAGGTCTGCCATTTTGATGTCAAAAGTCTCACCCAAAATTTTGACTTGAGCTTCACCATGTCGCTCCTTGTCTGCTATTTCTTTCGCGCACATCATACCCTGAAAATTTCTTAGATACTGTATGAAATCGAATTTGCAGTTTCCCACTTTGATCTTTTCCAATCGTCCACTTGCAGGGGGCATCCAGACGTACACTGTACGTCCGAGGTCCAGGACGAAAACGTCCCCAAGGTTCAAAGATTCTTTCTTGCACTCCACCTGCAAAAACAGTTGCATTATTAAGTACATTCGATTAATGCTAAATTATTTCGTACTTACCTGGTACCATCGCACATTTCTCTTTCCTTTGCAATGGTATAGTCGAGGCTTGAAATCCTTTAACGGATCCTCCACTATGTTATAGCCAGATTCCACTCCTCCATCCAAATATCTGCAAATCAAGAGAAAACTTTCTCAAGCGATAGATGTTCTTAAGTTTACCTTATTCCATTTGGAAAATATGACAAAAATAGTGGTGACTCATGGAATTGCACCTCTCGGTACTGTACTGGCATACCACCGTGAAACTCGTCGATCTGTTGAGATTTTATTGCTGCTGTGCCCATCTCGTCGATTGAGGTTTTCTCTCCCAGCCAGAAATGAATGTTGCAAGCACCTTTGTATTTTGTCTGAATTATTAAATCTCTCATTTCGAGCCTAATGACGCAAAATGCCTTTTTGACAAATCATCTCAAAAGCAACCGTGTGAGGAGCTTTCCAAAAATCTCCTTGCTGTATATTCACCAGCACTTCATCGATAATAAATCTTATGCAGCTACTACAGCAAGAAGAGATTTTCGTCCGTAATTATAATTATCAAACATCAAGATTGAAAAGGCGAAGCATCCAAAAATGTTTTCTGGTAAAAGACAGACCATATTGTTGTGTGTTAATCCAGCTCTTTCTGAAAACTTGCGCCAAATCTCAACAAATGTAGCGGCTACAGGTTCGGAAACTTGTGGAGTATTTTCTTTAAACTTTTATAGTTACGTTTTTCAATTTCCAAGCATAACATATAAATTTCGAAACGTTTTGGCACTTCCGGTGTTGCTTCTCAGTTTACTTGTGGATTTCCCTGGCTGATTTGTTCAAATGTAAACCAACAGTTTAACTTTTTATAGCATGTAAAGACATTTTGCTATCATTTGAGCATGCCAGAGGGAATAATAAGCTTTTCATGCATTTGCAAGATACTTATCTATGACCGGTTGTTGAATGTCCCAAAAGCTCATGCTGGAGACATCCTAATCTCAGGTTGCCCTTACAATTTGTGCAAGTGGTGGTCTAGTGAAAACATATAACAATCGGAATAACTCACGTATAAAACAACATAGGAGTCACCAGAATAGAATTGTCCATAATCTTCCTTCGGCACCTCTTCCAATTTAAATTTCTGAAATGAAAAAACTCTGTAATCTCTAGCAGCGCAAGAATTGCTCAGCACATTGAGGACGAGTTTTGAGGTTTTCAAAAATTATGTTTTTGTTGTTAAAAGGCAAAGAAATCTAGCATGTAAGATCTGCAGATAATGATTTTGCATAAAACGTTACATCATAGAATAACGATAAAAATGCACGATAGTTCATGGGTGCACAATCTTGAAGGAACCTTTGAGAGCAATGATGAGAAATTTCCGAAAGAGGACGTGTTAATAAGTTACTTGAAATTTATGATTTCATCATTGATTGTTTACAATCAAAAAGGTCATTTGCACAATTTCACAAATCGTAGAATTTATGAACTAATCTTGCGATTCTCAACCATTTTGCTACACATGTGTAATACCAAATTTCAACTATTATTAATGAAATTTTATCGAACCAAATCACTTTCAAAAGAGCTTATTTAGAATCAATCTTTTCGAGCTTTACAAATTTTCTGCGTTGCTACTCTACAGTTTCTAAGCACACCACTATTTGCTTGTATTTAGCAGATGTGAAAATTAGTACATCAAGGATGTGTAAGTGCACTACACAGAATTCCGCCAATGAATCTTAAAGGCAGCGGACAGGCAAAATGGACCCCTGTCAGATTTTGGTAGTTTCGGGTAGTGGACCCCCCAAGTACACCGTAGCCCCAACCCCAACTTCCAATTGATGCGCTAAGTCCTGAAAAAAGCGCTTCAAACTTCCACCAATAACGCCCACTCAATGCAAGTGGGCGGGGCTGGTGGAGTTTTGAAGCGCTTTTTTCAGGAGTCAGCGCATGAATTGGAATGTGGGGTTGGGGCTACGGTGTACTTGGGGGGTCCACTACCCGAAACTACCAAAATCTGACAGGGGTCCATTTTGCCTGTCCGCTGCCTTTAAGAAACACAATATGAGAATTCTCAATTCAATAGCGTCGTCAATGTGCTGTACCGCACGTAGTTGTATGTAGAAGTGAATAACGCAAACAAAGAGTTACATTTATTCTGTAGATTTCTAGTCCATCTTTCTGGCCAATCTGGCTCGTATCGACGTCCTGCGACATTCTTCTACTGAAAAAAATAAAAAATGACGATGAAAGAGCATAGAAAAACGACATCCCATCCACCGAGGTTAAACAGAATTTGACAAACAGTGTTACAATTTTAAACTTTGTCAAGATAATTGCCAATCGTGAGTGAACGGAAAAACATGTTCATACATGCTAGACTGGAGTAGTAAACAAGAGCGTAAATAAAACAAAATCGATAACGCACATCTGGAACGAAGTGAGTGAGGATGAGGTACTAAGCTCTCTGCTTCAAATAGGTTCACACAGCTTCTTGCATAATAATGATTTCTTTCAATCTTTCCCAGGTTTGAAAATCACATATTTATTACTTTTAATTTTTTGGTGAAAGAAGGAAATGTTTCTAGTACATCTAGTCAAAAATCAACGGTGAACACCAAATACTGATTTGAAGATTAACATCTTTGGATAAGAAGTAAAAAGATTGAAGCTTGCTGAACCAATAACTACGTTTTGTAGTCGCAATCAGGACTCGGCACAACTGCCACCGGGTCAAGCTGGATATTATTTTTGTTTGTTTTTTTAGTTTTGTAGTAAGTTAGATGTTTTTTTTAGTCGACGTTCGCTTTTTAGGTTTTTTTACGCTTAGGGTTTAGGGTCAATAGGGGCCTTCGTACGAAATTTCTAAGATCAAAGGGGATTTCGTTATGAAATTTCCCTGGTGCCAGCTCGGTCCAAGCCCTAGTCGCAACTCTCCGGGGACTTTTTGAGCACAAATGTTTCTTCGATGTTTCTTTTCCAAAAACTTGTTTCTAGCAAACATTTCGCTACTAATACTACAGTCCAGCAAACCTTTGTCGAGAAATTACCGTCAAGAGTCATGAACAAATCGAACTCCGGTGACGAAAGCAAACTTTTTTTGAATGACCCCCAACAGTGGAAAACCTTTATAATTTGCTTAGCAGTGATTAAACAACATTATCTCTCGTTAGAAAAACAAAGGCGGGGAAAAAAAACAAAGGCACAACGCAGAGCAAAAGGCGACTTTTTATGACTTGTTTCAGCCTATAACAAACCCTTAATTCGCAATTTCAAATTTTCCAACGTCTTGAGTGGGTGAAAGACATAATAGCGAAAGGCTTTGTGTCCCTGTTTCCAAAATTAACTCAACCAGCTCTGAGTGTAATCTCTTTGATTACAGCTATTACTTGTCGCGGCTCCTTGAGTGTCAGTGGTAAACTGGTGTTTCAGAACAATTCTAGAAACTGATCATTTGAGATATGTAAAAATATATGAGAGACAGTCTCGAAGAAAGAAAAATTCATAAATCTATGTTGGATAAGAACATTGCAGATCGAACAGGTTTTGGGGGAAAGTAGTACATAGTGTTATACAGTTCTTTGCAGTACATCTCATATTTGAGTACTAATTTGAAAATGAGCTAAAAAAAGCTCATTACTTCTGCGTCAACATAATACTCGTCTAAAGAGGAGGAGAATCTAAATTAGTTTATAAAATGTAATACTCTATTCACAGAATAAAATTAGCATGAGCTTTCGTAATCACAATAGAGCGATTAGTCAGAAGGTTTTGTGCACTTTTGTTTTTATCTTGCTGAAAATTTCATAGCAACATAGCATGAGGGTGAGGTTACAGAGGAAAAAAATTCATTTTGAATGTTGGATAGGCTTCTCTCAATTTTTTGATAAGCGAAAAAAGGGGATCAAGTGACCTGCAGTGTGTAAATCGGATCCATCAGGGAGTTCACGGCACATTATCTCGGACCGGCTTCAGCAGTGTAACATCGGCTCAAATAATAGAGAAGGAAACAACATCGGCCAGTAGTCAATAATCAACCCGAAACTAGTCAGCTCTTTTTGAACAACGAGACTACGATAATTTTGGGTCACGGATGTGGCACTCGTAAGTTACATGCCTATGACGGGCGATTGCAAAGATTTGACGTTGATGCAATGTTTTTCACCCTGATTCGTCAATTATTGCTTCTCTTTACAAACTCCTCTATCAAATATGCTGCTCAAATCGTGAGCGTACTATACAGGGTGTCCGTAAACTATGTATACACTGTTTGATCGTTAATATCTCTTTTCTCAAGGGATCTTTTGCCTAGCTTTAAGCACCATTTTGTAGAGCTGGCTTCATCTTAGATTTACATTATGGAGAGAATCATCGGTCGCTCTTTATTACTGTAGGATTACGGTAGAAAATTCAAGAAGGGTATGAGCCATCAAGGACCCTATTCCGCCTCAGAAAGCAAGCCAAACAACCAGAAAACTTTTATACTAGGGCATTTGGAGCCGCTGAAACCAGATATGATGTTTGCACTTTACCGCAATGCTTCCTTCATAAATTATGGCAGGTAAACCGTAATGTCTGTTTTTACAAGACTCCATAAAATCGTGGTTACACCATTTTAAAGGCTTTGAAAACTCGTAAAAAGTTGAGTGATAAAATCAGCGAGCTTGAAAACCCTAGTACACCACTTTTCAGATTTTTTGGAATCTTTTGTTGAAACACGGTAAATTCGTAATGACGCTATAAGCTGAAAGTTCTTACAGTAATCTTACAGTAGTGGAAAAAGATCCGTGATTCGCTCCATGCTGTAAATCTAAGTTGAAGCCAGCTCTACAAAATGGTGCTCAAAGCTAAGCAAAAGACTTCTTGGGAAAAGAAAATTAACGATCAAACAGTGTATACATACTTTACGGACACCCTCATTCGAAAGATTGTCCAGTTTGTTAGAAAATATTGGAATATCGATAAAAAATATATAAAGTAATAAAATAAAGACATATTATTGGTTTGCAGTACAACTTCTAAAGTGCGGTTCATAATTATACGAACACCCCAAATTTTAGAAATTTCTGGACTTTTTGACAGAAACTCAAAAAGCCGTTGGTACCACGCGAAAGAGCACAACCGAGAACGGTATATGATCCATAAGAATAAAAATGGATGTCAATTTCGGGAGTGTTTTTGCGCCTAGTGCGAATTTTTAGCGGTACATAATTATACGAACACCTCAAACAAAGGACCATTTTTTATTCAAGATCGCAGTCGTTTGAGTCCAAATTTTTTGTAAAGCTACAGTAGCGAAGTCTGACGTGTCCGTTACACACTGAACCCAGTGCAGTTCAAAAAGAGGACCGTTACTTTTTTCAGAAGGCTCTAAATGCTTCTGGAGTGATTAGGCTCCAAAAACATCCGCTCTTCTGCGGTTTACGCGCTCTAATTAGCTTCTACCAAAGCTATGAGATAAAATAAGTTCTTTCGATGGGTATTTTGTCTGACGCTCAGAAAATCTTTGCGTTTTCGTGCTGTTTTTCAACCAAGTTCCAACCTTACCACAGAGTTAGCACTATTTCGAGCCTCAAAACTCAGCTTCTGAAGTCGTACAATGAAGTTAGCATATAGTGTGTGGAAGTTCACAAGATTGTATATTTGGTTAGAAAAAATCAGCAGCGTTGAGCGTTTGTTTTGGCCACGCAGACGTCATTTCATCAAAAACACTGCTTTTACTATTGCAATCACACCTTTATTTGGTTTGTAGCTCCACAGCCTCAAGATCAGTTCCACAAAAAACCCAACAACTTTGGCACAGAAACATCATCATGCAAACAATGCAGCTGCTTCATATCAAATGTTTGCGCGAGAGAGAAGCTGAGTTTTGAGGCTCGAAATCGTGCTAACTCTGTGGTAAGGTTGGAACTTGTTTGAAAAACGGCACGAAAACGCAAAGATTTTCTGAGCGTCAGACAAAATACCCATCGAAAGAACTTATTTTATCTCACAGCTTTGGTAGAAGCTAATTAGAGCGCGTAACCGCAGAAGAATGGATGTTTTTGGAGCGCAATCACTTCAGGAGCATTTAGAGCCTTCTGAAAAAAGTAACGGTTCCCTTTTTGAACTGCACTGGGTTCAGTGTGTAACGGACACGTCAGACTTTGTTACTGTAGCTTTGCAAAAAATTTGGACTCAAATGACTGCAATCTTGAATAAAAAATGGACCTTTGTTTGAGGTGTTCGTATAATTATGAACCGCTAAAAATCCGCAGTAGGCGCTTAAACACTCCTAAGATTGACATCCATTTCCATTCTTATAGACCATATACCGTTTTCGGCTGTGTTCTATCGCGTGGTACCAACGGCTTTTTGAGTTTCTCCCAAAAAGTTCAAAAACTTACAAAATTTTGGGTGTTCGTATAATTATGAACCGCACTTTATCTTTGTCTTTACATTCAAGGTGTACCATTTAATCTATGAAATACTGTTGGTATGTGGCCAGTCGTCCTAGAAAAGAGCAAAAAAGAAAATTTTCGTACTTTGATGACGTATGAGCAGAAGAATTTACTCACACGGGATAATGTATCCATCAAAACGAAAAAAAAATACGACCAAATGCGAGTATTTATACGCCTACATATGTGAGTTGAGATGCCAGATAAATAGCAGTAAGGACTGCTATCGCTTAAGGATAATCGGCCTATATGAAGTTTGGTTTCAGTATCTCAGAATTGTCCACGTTTAACCTTTTATGTTGTGGAAGGAGTGATATTCCTGTGAACATTTGTTGAAGCAAGCAGAGTCACGTTTTCAAGGACTTGTTAACAAGCTTTATTTGAAATCTGATGATTAAAAATATGAAGGCAATACAGTGTCATAAAACGTTTTTTAGCATAAGATGTCCTGTTTCGAATGTTAAATGATTTTTGTCGATAACTTTCAGAAAGACCTCATTTTCAACAATGTATGAGCCTAGCATTTCCACTGGTCGATAGCTCTCTAGATCAGTTTTCATGGAATTTCTTTCGCTTTTACCAAGCGAACGCATTTAGAGGTATGGCTATAGAAAAGTCAGCATGTCCCAGTCAGTCGAGATTAGAGCCTAACCACCATCTCGAACTATACCTCCTCTCAAATCAGCCATTTTCAATGAATCAGTTTTCTATCTGAACATAGAATTGTGTGTCAACTGGAAAAGGGAATGAAGACCATTCTGGTGATACCAACTTCCTTCTGGATTAACATAATTTTGATCCAAAGTCAATATTTGTTAAAGTAAATTTGGGACACTTGGTTATAAATATTAAAGCATAGTCCAGGTGCGATATTCTCAGGCTGCAAGGACCCTTGCAAATTTCCTGATTTCTCTGCAACGCATCGTAGCGCACAGAAAACTTAATTTTCTGCGCTATCTCGCCTATTTTCTTGCAAAGAAGTAGAAGAAAGTACAGAGATTTGCGTTATATTTAATTTCTTTTATTCGTGCCGTCTTCTTTGCATGTATTGAATCGATTTGTAATGTAGATATTTCTTTGATAGAAAAAAAATTGAAAGGACAGCTTTTTACCAGTTTTGACACATATTCATCTCTATTTACAGAATGTTTTTTTCCTGAAATTCTGAGCAAGTTCATAAGGTTTTAGCTTGCAGTGAAAAATAAAGTTAGTAATAGTTTGACTTTGATTGTGATCCAAGATTTTCTGTATGGAAAACGGGTGGATCGAATAATTTATCTAACTAAACAACGGAATTATGAGTTTGAGAATCCTGACTTTTTCGCAAGGAGCACGCTCGAGAGGCCTAAAAAAGAGATCTTTTAGGACGGTTCTTCTTGGACTGAAAACTAAGTTACCCGTCTCAGGAGTCCTTCCGGTCGATCAGGTTTTAACAATTTTACTTCCACTTGACATCGTCGTTGCATGGATCCTGTACGTCGCAGCGATCCACGTTCACTGCCAGTCCGTCTGGTTTTCGTTAGTTGTTCAGAAGCTCGCGACCGCACCGTTGTCCACTGGGAGCGGAGCTGGAAAATTTTGTGAATGAGTGAACAGTAATTATAACTTCGTAGACTTAATAATCAGTGTAGTGCTCCAGGGGTAGAGGAACGAACACCTCAATTAGGCACCGCCTCCGCGGACTACTGTTCCTGTTACGATGCACAACAGCAGAACGAAAGGACAAGCAGCCTGCGGAGGCGGTAATTGAGATGGTGTTCGTTATCCACTCGTGCCCCGCTATCCCGATAATACACGCGCGAAAAAATGGCCATAGAGCGCAAATTTTCCACTCATGCGTCTCGCGCATTTTGTCCGCGCAAATGTTGTCGGAACCGCAGCGGCACTATATTAACCAATGTGCTTGGCTATGATTGAACTATGAGAAAGTATAATGCTTTGCAGAGCTCAGACCTGTCTTCGCAATGCAGGTGTACGAGCCACGACTATCAGTGGATTCAACACTGGATCGACAAATGCGGCTATACGAGCGAAATGATACCTGACGAATGATTTATTGCAGCCAAATTGCTTAAACCTTTAACTGACCATTTAGTAAGCGTGGCTACTTCTTCTCTATCATCGACCCAGAATACAGCAATCTCTATATATGTTTGTCCTAATACCGAGACGAAAAATGTGGCTATTGAAACAATCAACGTATGGAATAGCTTCTCTCGGCGCCTATGAGGGGATTGATCCCTAAAAGATACCGTATTAAAAAATGAAAACTATTAGTACAATCGGTTCTCGATAAAGTCCAATATTGTTTCATGCAGCACTGCATAGCAGAGGAAAATTTCAGAAAAAAACAATGTATTCAAAAGCGGTTCGAAGTTAATATTATAAGTGGAAATAGTAATCTTGTAGATTTGTAGTTAAAAGACGTATAGTGATTTGCTCAGTTTTTTGTTGAATATTGTAAGCACTTTGAGATGTTTTGTAATAGACCAAAAAATTGAGTAGTAAAGGTCTTGTTCATATGAAGCACAAAACGTCTTGGGAATTTGAATCCGAAATTAGGTATAAAGTTTAAGTGTTTATTACTTACCGTAATCCACTATGAATGAAGTCATGTTGTCTGCGAATGCGAAAATGATATGTGATTGTGATAGTGAATATAAGAATTGAAGCCGCAAGGAAAAGTAGTGTGAATAGAGTGTGGCCACGCAGAAGATAGGGTCCAAAAGTATGGAACACGGCCGTGCGATCGCATTGACCAGCGATTTCTTCGTAGTTCGATCGCGGAGTTCTGAAATTGTTAGTGGTAGATCGATGTAAGCTTCATAGATGTGGGATGATAATCTGCAACCCGATGAGAAAATTCCTACATTACTAGCTATGAAGCTGGAGGCTAGTGGTGGTTGAATGTCTTCGTTTGAAGACCTAGTATATGAAGTTGCTCACGATATACGTACTGGGGCAAAATTTGGAATTTTGTTGGCCACGAACATGCCACTAATGGGAGGGAGCTATTAGTTTGGTTCGTAAATTTTGTCGCAACATTTTCAAAGAGTCGTAAGCTTGGCACTGATATTATGGTATCACGCGCTTTCTAATGACCCTTTTCCGCTTTTCACTAGGTTTTGATAGCCGACATAAAAATGGAAAAATCTTTTGAGGTTTAGCGACTTGAGGCCAACTCTTTGAAAATCCGAAAACTGTACAGCAACCTCTAAAAGAACCAGCATGAGTCTTCTGACCTCCTCTTTCCAACGAAACAGAATTTGCGGTAATCAAGCTCTCCTTCAGCTTAAGACTTAAAAAATCTAAAGAAAGTTTTGGCATTTTTAGCATTTTGAGAATCAAGCTTTTCAAAAAAGAGCTCTAGTAAGTTATGGAATGACTGCTGTATACCAATACTTAGATATATTTGACTTAGCCACTTTTTTATCTTCGCCCAAAAAGGACAGAAGAAATTAAGGATTCTGGACCAAATTTGGCAGACCTAACGCATGGGGTGGGGCATATGCTGATAAGCCATTCTATTCGGGACATATTTATTGCCTTTCTCGATTTATTGATTTTTTTGTACAAAAAGGATAGAAGAAGTCGTGAAATCTAAACCAAATTTCGAAAACGTAATGCATGCCGTGGGGCCGGTTTGATAAGCCATTTTGTTCGGAACACACTTATTGCCTTTATCGATTTATTGATTTTTTGCAGATTTTGTTGAAAAACTTTTCATCTTCTCCCAAAAAGGATAGAATGAGGAATGGGTTTTGAACCAAATTTGGCAGACATAATGCATGGGGTGGCTGTGTTAACCCATTGACGACGATGTGGACTACCGCTGGCCCACACCTCTTGCAAAGTCATATTATTTTTAAGCCTAGTACTTTTTCCACATATAAATTTTTTTTCAAATTTTTCCAACTCATGAAACCTACAGGCTCCGTCGTTCAAGAAAATGTTTATATTTGATTACAAAACAATCCGGCATTTTTCGTAATAACCAGAAAATCTTCCCAAACCGAAAGTATTGTGCAAAAGCGTCGTCGTCAGTTGGTAAATAAGCCAATTTGTTTGAGAGCCACCGTTTGCCAATATCAATTTATTGACTTCTTGCACTTTGCGCCATATCCGTTGCTTAAATTGTTTAATCCAAGAAAAACTGATAAAACCGAAATTATGTCATAATTTTTCGTTTTGTGCAGGTAAATCGGAGCAATTCGTGCAAAATGGCAAATCTGTTGCAAATTTTCACATTTCCGCAATGAAAAACGAAAGATTTACGAGGCAGCGAAGCTGCCAAGTAAATCTTCCGAACCTGCGGCGTACCGGCAGAGAGCGGCTGCCTCTAATAGATTTGAACTCGGATAGCCCCTCGGTATCGATTATCTTTCCTTCTAATAAACTGCTTTGCTTATAAGCGACAACATTGGCGAATAAAAGATTGTAAAAGTGCGACATATTCAAGTTTTGTGCTCCATGGCTAATTTTCTGACCATTTTTCACGCGCAAGTATTGTCAGCACCTCAGAGGGGCTAATACATTCACCGCCAAATCTACTGAATTATTTTCCTTGTGCAGCAAGCTCTGGAAGTACTCACTATGAAAACAAGTTTTCACTCACACTTCACACTGCAGATAGGTCTTTCCTCTCGAAAGCGTGGAAAAAAGTTCGTCAAGATATTGGATGGCATTTATCTGAAAATTAATGTTCAAGGTTATGAAAGGCGCAAGGATAAGGCGGTAGTGGACAAATCAGCATTAAACATGCAGTGAAGTAGTAATGATAATAAGAAGCTAAGGATATTGAAACTCTGTTAAAATCTGACCGAACCTGCACTGTAGAAAATAATATATGTGAGATTATTAACATTGCCCATACGCAGGCGAAAACGGAGATCACAGAAACACGTGAAAGATGAATCGATTTCCCAGCCATTGATCGGCTGATCACAACCTTAACATAAATTATATGCTAAAAATAGTAAATATAGACGCTCCTCACCAAAACAAGAACCAGAAGATGAATAAGCCCTGTAAGACTGCCATTTTGCGCTAACGAGTACAGGGTTTCCTGGATAAGGTGCTTCCTTAAAAGAGGGTAGTAACTGCAAAAATCGTATGATATAGAAACTGAAATACTTTATCCAAGATTGACAAACCGAAATTCATCAGAAGCGAAGAGATGAGTCTGAAGAGTTTCTGCGACTACCAGCTCCGGAGATTTTTCCATATACTGCTAGGAAACAAAAATAAGATTTTTGCGATAATTGAGTTAAATTTTCAAAAAAGATGTCGAGGCTACTTGGCTACTCACATCCTCGTTAACATTTCCATATGGTGCATCGTCGAAGAGATCACGCATAAAAAACAGAAAAGAGGAGAAAAATAACAAATTTGAAAACATGATATTGAAAACGAAGAGCACAGTCGCGGTTGAAAGACTTCTTTTTGTCTGTAATAAAAAACTCTCATGGCTTATTATCTCCTACAACAATCAGAAACTAACTTTTAGGAGGAGAACGGCAAGAAGTACCGTATTGAAGACTACCAGCACTAGCAGGCAAAGCTCCACATAGAAACTACGCCATGCTCTGTTGGCGAGAGCTCTGAAAAGTCATCGTTTATGCACTTAAAAGTACCGTCCACACAAATTGAGGTTGATGAGTTCTTGATGCTGTACATTAACGAGGATTTCGTAATCGTCCTCTCGCTGCAAAAGGTGGATTCGAAATTGAGAACGCTCCAGTGGCATTCATCAACGAACCCTGAGGGTTAAACTAAGCCTGGAGGGTAAGTTTAACCTTCAAGGTTCATTGGCCGTATTCATCAACGAACCCTTGATGAGCTCTCGAGGGTAAATTCTACCCTTGAGGGTAGAATTTACCCTCGAGGTAGAATTTACCCTCAAGGGTAGAATTTACTCTCGAGGTTCGTTGAACCCGTATTCACGAACGTGGCTCATCAGGGTAAATTTAACCCTAGCGAGCAAGATTAGATTCACTTTTACACTTCGTACGAATATCAAGTGATTTCTCGATGCGCTACTCAGGCTTAGCGATATGTTTTGACAAAAACACATATTTATCGTTACTATTAAGTCAAACTTCCTATGGCCTCTGTTCGAGTTTTTGTTTGATGTTTCGACCGGTGTTATATTCAGCCGAATGTTACAGTAAAAATTTTTAGTTTCAACTGAAGTACATGTCCAACTTAGGCCTTTGATATGACGAACTTTAACAAAGCTCGGTTGGGGCTCCCTCAAGCGAATTTGAGTCCACCAATATAAACAATTTTTTTACATGGTCATACTGTCGTAACTCAACCAAAAACATTTGATTTAAACTAGAAAGTACTAAAAAATTTCACCTTAATTTTCTCAATATTAGACGAGACAAAAGAGAACTTAACAAATTTGAGATATTAGGTTGTCTAATAAATACGTTTGTTTTGAGTTGCAAATTCGAAGCTTCATAACAACTCACGTAACAATTATTCAGCTAAGATTTGTTCGTGAGTCTGTCACCAAAAACTGACAGTTATAACCCTATATAGTCAGACTTCTAAAAAATCGCTTATTTGATTTTCTAGCTTTCGTTCTCAGCCTGCAGTGAGTACACAGGCGAGTAATTTGGTGGCTGGATACATGCAGCCTCTAGCTAGGTGGCGAACCGCAATGGAGATTGTGACTGCTGTTTGTGAATTTCTGCAGTCAAAATTGTGAAAATTTCCAGGCATTTGCGCGTGAAGGTCAAATTCTGGGCATCCAGATAACTCGAATTTGGGCATCTATGGTCATGCAAATAGCTGAAAATTCAAAAATTTGTTGTGTGCGTAGCGAATCTACACTTTACACCTGACTTCATTTCGTTTTTTGGAACGTGATTTTTCGAATTTTTGGGTAAAAATCTGACCAATTTTCTCTCCACCATTTCATTATCAGAAAAACATTTTTGAGAAAACAGAGTCAACCTTCCGATTCCCCTTGATTTGCTCTTTCCAGTGGTACCATATATACACAAAAAACTGATTTGTGAAAATTCTTAAACCGGTAAAAACGACCGAAGTTATTTTTTAGCCAACCTAATAATATCAGTTAGAAATATGTGTTTGCTGTTGAATAGTATCGTTAGGGTAAGAAGTGCATCGAGAATCACTTTATGTTTGCATGCACGAATTGTTAGGGTAGAGTTAACCTTGCTCTAAGCTAGGGTTAAAATAACCCTGATGGGTCACATTCATGAATACGGGTTAGTCGCCTTCGGGGGTAAGTTTTACCCTTCAGAGTTAGTTTAACCCTCACAGTTCGTTGCCCATAAACGTGGGTGATGTGAAGAATAGCTCAAAAGCGGGCTTCAGGATAGACAGAAGTGTAAAAAATTCGGTAATTATAATGTAGGAGGGAATTATAACGCCTTAGGTACATGAAAGCAGCATGTGAAGTTTTCATCTTTAGATCACCCACGTTGATGGAAGGAGTAACCAGGCCCTTCTACATTCTGGAACGTTTTTTCGTTTCGAATTCATCTCTTGCAACGAGACTTGGGCGATTGGTTAGTTAGGAGCCCCGCTATTATAGAGCGTCGTCAAAATCTTACCACCCTCAATTTGGGTAGAGGTGCCTTCAAAAAAGCAAAAAAAATTTTGGACTTTGCTTACCTGTATTTGCGATCATTATTTAGATCACAAATATGCGTGTTGCTATGTGGACAGCAAGAATGCGTGATTTGTGCTGATATGCGATCCGACCTGAACTAAGCTATACAGTTTCGTTGACCACAGCTAATCATACTACTGAACTGTCACGATATTCAACAAACTGTAGAAAATTCATTACAAAACCACATCACAATATTTTTAGACTATTTGGAAAACTCTAATATGGAAGCTGATATGTCAAGGCTCTGAGTTGCTGGAAGCGACTAAGGGTAATCCGGTAATTTGTTTTCTACTGTAAATTTAGGTCAGGGTAGTCAGCTGCTCTGATTTCTACGAATCATACGATGTATAAATAATGAGTCTGACAGATGGCGAAGAGATCGATTAGTTGAAAAGGGAAGGAAAATTGGATTTTTCCGCAGTCCATGGCTTGCAAAAAATAATTCTTGCAAGAATTTGTCGCGATAAAAAATCACTTTGAAGTTTCAAATGAAATTCAGCTCTCCACCAACTCTCAGGTTCGGAGTTAAATCATTTAAGAGCAGTGATTAAACAATTTCGCCATTGATTAAATCACTGTAATATGATAAATAATCTTTTTAGTGACTACTGCCAAAGTTTGGCTCAAATGTGTCCCAATCTCTGGCAACCCTATCCTGAAGGCATAGACGACCAGTTCCAGGTGGGCGGAGCTTTGTACACTTTGGCGGATTCTAGTTCCATTTTTTTCCATTCAGAGGCCAAAATAGAAGAGAATGGGCCAACGCAGATATCGTACTCCTAGGGCCCTCTTGTAGACTAAGTGCTAAGAGAGGGAACATAGTTTTTATTCGCTGCCCATGAAGGTATCATGTCAAAATCCCTCTGCATTGCATTTCGAGCACACATGATAATTTAACAATTTTCTTCGCTATCAAGTCTTGTTAGTGGACCACACTTGAACAATAGCTAAGTTTGAGAGTGCAATACTAAACGATACCTGAGTTTCTCAAAGTTGTCGGGATCTTGCCTTAAAACCTATGCAATCAAATTTTAAATAGAAAACATCCCCTCACCTTGCTTCGTCTGTCTCATTGCTGTTTGCAGTTTCGTTTCGCTCTACTTCTTTGATTATGTATTGTCTGCATCTAAAAAAAGCTGTTACAATAACTTAGAAAATAAGGCATTACCAATTTTCCACCCACTTTCGAACTTTATCGATCTGTTTCCATAATTTGATTGCTGCCAATGAGAAGTGTTGAAGAAGGAGGCGCGTCTTCAGTACTAACGAGGGCAGTTCGGAATCGGAGTGAATGTTGGAAACCATGTTGGCGCTAAAACAAAATCGAATAAATTCGAATTTGCTGGTTTTATTTACTAGCGTATTACCTTAATAAATTCATGTAGAGTATGTCATCGGCTAACGCTAGACCCATATTTGATACGGCCTAAAATGCTGAATTTCAGCACTTTGAAATACAAAAATACCTTTTGCGACTGGTCTATTCTTCCATCTTTTTTTCCTGGTTAGGTACCAACCTCCTCAGACAATTCACCGGAACTTCCGCAGGGCAAGCAATATTTGCAGCGGTTCCGTAGGATTTTGTTCATTACTCCAAAAGCGGAAACGTTGAAAAAGGGAACTTCCGCAGGGTTTTCACGTTAGACTGGATAAAAACGGGAACTTCCGTGGGGCTTTATACAAAGCGCTGCGGAACTTTCGAAAGATGCCAGCGGTTCCGCAGCACTTTGACATGCCAGTACTTCCGCAGGGTTTTGAATGTGTTGTCTAACATGATGTTGCCTCGCCAACAACTAGAGTGATTATCGAACATGTTAGTCGTAGTGCAAAAGATAATAGGCGAGTCTCACAGTCAATAAAGTAAGGTTCAAATCTCGCTTCGGTGTTCTCTTTTGCCGTTGTGGTTCGCATTCTTCGGAATCTCCGCAGCACCTTTCTAGGAACTTCCGCAGCACGTTTACGGAACTTCCGCAGGTGACTCGGCGGAACTTCCCCAAACGTTCTGAAGAAGTTCCGGTCAGTTGTCTGAGTCATTCGGCCTGCAACCCGATTTTTAGCTAAATGGATGGTAAACGATCAAAACTAGGCCTGCTCTTATAGGAGTAGCATAGGAGAGCGGTTTTCCTTTTGTTTCATTTGATTATCATTTGAAAAATACCCCATAATAGTTTAGCACCAGCCTCTTTTTTTGTTTACTCTAATCGTGTACACAAAGAAAAAGAAGCTGTAGCTTGGCACTCCCTCCAGCTCATTGTTCACTGAGTATTCCATGCGGAAATAACAGGATCTTCCAACTGAAAGAACAATCACGCAAACTCACAAGAGTAGTATTGATAAATTGGCTAAAATCATCACAATGACGTGAAAATCGCTGGAACAGCGATGGAAATTTCAGCAGAGGCGTTGATTGTCCGGAACATCGCTAAAATTGGGATGATGTCGCGAACTCTGTCGACGACGAGATATAACAGACCTCATCAATTTTCTTTTGTCTTTTTTCTACATGTGGAACATAACATCTACTATACAGATTCGAATATACATCAGAAATTCGTTGACATATTAGCCTGGAAAAAACAAATTTTCCTGCGTTAAGTAGAAATCAGAATATGACTTTACATCCTATCTGCATTATCTCGTTCATATAAAGCTCGAAATAAGGAGGAGTACAGATATAAATTGAAAAGTTCATCTTTAGGCACAAGTCGTCCCTTGTCACAGATCTGAAATAATAATTTACACTTTAATGAAAATCCAGTGTCACTTTTACATCTCTAAATATTCTGGGTTTATGGAAGAAGTGTTTTGTATTTTTTTAAGCATCTTCCGTGAAACCTAGCGTTTGTGCGTAATTTTTGTTGTCAAAAGAAATTTGCTTGCATATAATTTCGAATTATTTTTTGGATCTTCAAAAAGTTGCAGTAACATCGGATCTTTCCTAAGAAGAATTGTGTTAGAAAACTAACGCTTGAACTGGGAGCCGAAACGATGCAATAAAGTTTGGAAATAAAACATTGATTTTTTTTGCTTTTTGTGATGCATACACATCACAATTTTTAACTCGGAATTTTGGTACAATTTCTACAAAAAAAGCATTTTCAAACATAAGACTAAACTTACCACAGCATAAGCATATTTGAGAAACATCGTTTGAAAATCACGATGATAAGTGTGAGCATAACGGCTATAGGCAAAGATTTGATTAACTTCGCAAAACCTTAACAAATCATCCAGAGTTTTTGAACTTAAGCATACGAAATTTACCTCAAAGATCTCATAAGCCATACAAGGCCGTGATCCTTCTTCGGAACAAACTTAGCAAAATCAGGATAACAAAGGACATACTTCTCCATATAGAATTTTATCTGAAATTTTAATAGGGTAATTGTGATGCTTACATTGACTTTTTAGACAACTCCTTTCAAGTGTTCGGATTTTATTGTTTAGCTCCGCAATTCTCTGAACACTGTTCATAAAATTCCACTCAGTGTATAAATTTTATTGAACCCTTCCTTACTCTTGGAAGATCCGGCCTCAGCAGAATCACATCGTCCATTTCGTTTGTGCACAATTCGTAGATTCTGGCACTTTCGTTAAATGGCGGCAGCCACTGGTTGAAACCTTGTGGGTGGGCGTATACAGTAGCGACAATAGCGCTAATCAACCATAGGCAACGGCTCATCTACTTTGAAAAAAATCTGCAATTTTCAAATTTAGATGTCACAGGAGGACAATTTAGACGTACTGAACAAAAATGCGTGGAGATCTCAAGGTTTATCGACAGGAAAGAAGAGCCACGTGAGTTGAGAATAGTAAAAGTACAAAGCAATATACACAAAGTGGTTCATCGAAAATTTTTCCAGTAATCTTTTCTTGGTCTGATCACAGTCTATATCATTGACAGATAGCACAATCTACAACAAATAAAATATAATTTGCATTCGTATTCTGTGTTACCATGAAACCCAGCAAAAATCACAATTTTTCGTTAGAGGCAGAGGCTCGCTCGAGAAGATTACAACTGAGCGCTTGTTCCCTCTTGGTCTCCTAGATGCGTTTGGACCAGAGCTGTACTTGATCAGTCAAAAAAATGCTTTTTATGGTGTTTTCAGGCCTTGGAGATTGCTTAGGAGGCTGGAGCGGAGAATCCCGCCGCAAAGTGTGACTGGCTGCAGGAAACTGTAACACGACTCATTTCGGCGGCAATTGGCTGATAGGCCCATGCAGCCAATCGCGATTCGGCTGCGGAAATCTCCGCTCCAGCCTCCTCAGCAATCTCCGAAACCGGAGAACGCCTCAAACAACTATTTGACTTTTTAAGCCACCTCTGGTCTGGTCTAAACGCATGCAAAAGGCCAAGGAGGAACAGAAAGCGCGCCTTTGCAATTTTTCTGAGCCACTGCCTTTAAGGCAAAGCTATTTGCTCTACGATTACACAGTTTTTTTCTATTTGCTCTATGATACATTATGTAGTAAGTAAGACATGTTGATCTAAACTTTGCTGACAAGAAAAATTTATGGAGAAATAGATTTGCACGGTCAGTAGTGGACAGTTAATTTATCGACACTATTCTATACGTTTACATTTACACATATTAGGTCGGAGCAAAAGTTTTGTCAGTTTTTTGAATCCATCGGCAAACACGCTAGAATGAAGATAAACAAATTCTTCAAAATGTATCCAATGCAGAATTTCTTCCTCTTTCCAGCTGCTAAACCACTATTGTGTTTCGTTGCAAGAGTGACGAGATATTTGCTGCAAATTACAACCAGTCGTTTTTACCATGTCCAACTTCCACTAACTTTCAAAATTTTTGTATGAGACTTTCGGAGGAGCCCTAATGACCACTAGATAGGGCAAATCCTTTGCCAACTTACGCAATTTTTTTCTTTTTTTCAGCTGCATTTCAGATTTTTGCTCAATAATTTCCTAAAAGTCTTGTATTTTGGAAAAATCGCATAACCTGTTGTCGCATCAAACACTGCAAAACCTACAGAATACTGGCGTTTTTACACTTGATTATTACTACCGCTACCATTACAAAGTAAATGAGCGATTTTCTCTTCAAATTATGAAGATTTAGAAACATAGATTACGTCAGTACGCACTCCTGAAATTGAGAAAAACTGCGATTTCCCCACAAATTTTGCCTGTTTCGGCAAAAAAAGACAAGTGCTCGAAGGAGGAGAAAAAGTTACATCGAATGGTGACTGAAACGTTTAACATTTCATGTTCTACGAAGTTAAAATAGGCTGAATGTAAAACTTGGTCACTTCAAAAAGCAAATCGTAGAAATTCTGAAAGACAAGCCGTAGTGTTACAAAAAATTGCTTCTGTTGGCAAAAGGTTTGCCCTATCTACTAGTTATTAGGGCTCCTCCGAAAGTCTCATATAAAAATTTTGAAAATTAGCGAAATTTGGACATGGTAAAAACGAGTGGTTGTAAATTCCAGCAAATATCTCGTCATTCTTGCAACGAAACACAATGTGAGTTTAGTAGCTAAAAAGAGGTAGAAATTTTGCATTGGATACATTTTGAAGCATTTGTTTATCTCCATTCTAGCGTGTTTGCCGATGGATTGAAAAAACCGACAAAACTTTTGCACCGACCTAATAGATTAGATTTTCGCAGCAGATTCACAACACATAGCAGAAAATAAATCTACCCAAAATCTTTATGGTAATCTTATTAGTGTGACCCTGGTAAATCAGCACTTGTTTACCTGAACATTGATTTTTAGCAAGTCTCCTTGAAAAGCAACTTGGAAAAAGGTATAAGGGAGAGATCGCGATAAGTAAGTTAGGAGCTGACTTGGTCTCATGCAATGTTCATCAGAGAAGAACTACAAGCAACAGAATAGGTACAATATAAGTTTCTTGGAAAAAACACATACGGACGGCAATATACAAGGTGTCCCAAAAGTTTGTATACACTGTTTGATCGTCAATAACTCTCTTGCTTTGATGCTTTTCGGTTTTTTTAGGTACTATTTTGTAGAGCGAGGTTCAACGTAGAAGAATTACAATATGGAGCGGATTACCGACTGCTCTTTAATACTGGAGGATAACGGTAGGAAATTCAAGAAGGGATTTAAGGCATTGAAGACCCTATTTCGCTTCAGAAAGCGAACCAAGCAAACTGGAAACTCTTACACCAGGTTAGTTAAAGTCGCTGAAACCAAATATGAACTTTGCATCTTACCGCAATGCTTCCTTCATGACTTATGCCAGATAGACCGCAACAGCTGTCTTTACATGCTACGTGAGACTGTGATTACCATCTAAAAAGCTTTACAGACTTGCAAAACGTTGAGTAATGAAATCAGCACGCACGAAATCCCTCATGCAAGACTTTTCAGAATTTTTGGAAAAACCTTTGCTACCCGACTAATCCACAATAACGCTGTAAGCCGAAAATTCTTACCGTAATCCTACAGTAATGAAGAGCGACCGGTTTCGCTCTATACTTTTAACCTAAGTTGAAGCCAGCTCTACAAAATGGAACCTGAAAGCAGGTAGAAGACTTCTTGGGAAGAGAGATATCAAAGATCAAACAGTGTATAAATACTTTTGAGACACCATGTATACACATGGATCCAGAAACAGCCAAGAAAACAGTCCAAAGTTTTAGCCCGAGAAGAGAATGGATGCAAAAGCGGAATGAATTAACAGGTTAATGTCAAGCCATTTCTTGACACCATCGAGCAGTGCTTTGGAGTGGAAAAGCCAAGAATAGCTCCATGTCTGGATTGAAGTCCAAGAGCATATGAATTGCGATTTGAGTAAATCGTTGGACGGAAGAAGAGAAAATGAGAGAGACTTGTAGAGGTAAAACAGTGTCTTATTGGACTACCCTAAGTTTCTATTGAAAGCAGACAAAAAAGATATAGTACCTTCACCTGAGTAGTACCCAATTTATGTGAATTCCTTCTAGATTAGCGACCTTGACCGAATCCGTAACATTTTTCAAGAGATAGAGCTTTATATCATTAGATTGATTGAAAAGACCAAAGCCTGCTTAGCGTATAATTTCAAATCAACTTCAAATGGGCTTATGAAAGACTAAGAAGACGTTTTTGATGAAATCAAAATTAAGCAAAAATGGATAGTGGTTTTCTAATGAATTATTAAGAGTTTATTATCTTTTCTCCATAATGCTGGATTTGCTAAGGTAGTTCCTTTCTAATTTATATAGGAAAACTTTGTATAAACGAAAATATAGTAGAGAATGGCGGCAGAATCAAAATGAATCTGAGAGCTTGGCTAAAGCAGACAACAATTTGCTAGTATCTCTCCTACGTCTGTAGTTATTTGCACTGCATTTTGAATTCCATTAACAAACAGAAAATTTTCACTGTTCTAGCTGATAAAAACCAACCACTTTCAGTTTCCAATTACCTGGAAAGCTTTCGCTCTTTTTTGTATAGTTGTAGCACGTAACAAGTAAAGCTCTACGAGCGTATCATATATTTCAAAGAGCATTTTGTCGGATATGCAATTTCAAGCAAAAAAAACCAGAAGTACGAGAAGCATATGAAAATGAGAAAACTAGACAATTTTGAATTAGAGCTCTCTATACGTGTACGTTTCACAATTATAAGCTGGGAGTGATTCGCATAAAGCTTTGGAATCTTTGAGAAGTTTATGGAGCACTGGAAGAATGGTCTAGATGTCTTGCCTTTCGTATGATCCGTTTTGGATATTTCGGAAAAACATTTGAAGACCTGGGTATTTCTGTGCGCGATTTATAGGCCACTTCGAAAGTATTTTCGTTTTTTTTACCAAGTTTATGTGGACCCCAAAATTGGAAATGCAACGGAAATAATCTAGGATACAGCTGTCGCACTCCTCCTACTTCTTCAAATCAGAATTTCTGAGAGAGAATCAATTAGAGTTCAATTAAACGCAGATTGCAGTTTGCCAACCTCACCTTCCTTCTAATTCGGAAAATAATGCACTTTGCATACTCCTTTTGCGAGTCTTGCATTTATTTGATCTCTTTCCAAGCGGATAGGGGAACGAACTCCGCCAGTTTGGGCCGCTTCCACAGACAACTGATCCTGGAACGACATGCAACAACATTGAATAAGGACCAGTTGCCTGCGAAGGCGGCCCAAAATGGCGGAGTTCGTCCCTACCCCTTCTAAGCCAGCAGACGTAGTATCTTTTCGCTAGTATCTTTTCCAAAACAGGTTGAAAGAACGACTTTGATGAAAGGACGTAAAATTATCGCTACTATGATGCTGACAACATCAAAAACGAAAGTAGTGAGCTCTTCCTAGCACTATTTGTCCGAGAAGTGTGAGTTACAATACTGGAGCAGAGAGCAAACAAATATGTAGGCGAGTATATCTGCAGAATGCCCATTATTAGTGCAGAGAGCTGCTTGCGAATGAAGAGGAAAGGCCCTTGGGATAGGTCTGAGATAGAATTGCTTCCTTTTCCTGCTTTAGATTAGCTGTGAGGTAAATTACATCATTCGCTGCAGATACTATTTAGTTTTGCAGGAAGAACAGCTTGAGCGCAATGCAGGAAGATGACTGACTGCCACAAAAAAGTTCAAATTTTCCCATAAAAGTTGTTCCATGCAATCCATGTTCTATGCCTGCGACCAAGCGACCACAGGTGCGATAAGGTGAGAATGACGCTTCCAGGGTGAAGGGGGTCACAGTGGTCGCAGC